TTTAACATTTTTTTCTATTACGCATACTTATCCCTAAACAATGCGGTTTAGTTTTACCTTTAATTTATATTAATGAATTTGTGTTGTCTAATGTTGTTTGAAGTCTTGCTTTTATCATACAATATTATATTTGTTAGACTCAACCTTTTAGTTATAGGTAACTAAGACACAGGTTGTTTCCAGTGTGAAAGAACTGCTTCAAAAATGTTTTCAAGTGGGGCAGCACCTGTGGCTCAGTAAGTAGGGTGCCAGCCTCATATACTGAGGGTGGCAGGTTCAAACCTGGCCCCCAGCCAAGCCGTGCATTGTGGCAGGGGCCTGTAGTCTCAGCTACTCAGGAAGCTGAGGCAATCATCTTAAGCCCAAGAGCTGGAAGTTGCTGTTAGCTGTGATGCCAGGACACTCTACTGAGGGTGACAAAGTGAGACTCTGTCTCAAAAAAAAAAATGTTTTCAAGTGTGGTGCTATATACGTATGCGCATGCTGTCCTACAGTATATGAAAGAGTTGTTGAGCCATAGGGTATCTGTATCTTCAAATTTTCTACATAAAGCTGAACTGATTTATAATATGGTTTTGCAAGCTATATTCCTACTAGCAGTTTATAAACATAGTCATTTTGTATTAAAATACTTGGTCTTTGATAAATCAGCTTATATAATGGCATATCATATGTTATTAAAGGCATAACATACATTCTGAAAACTAGAAATCAAAGCATATGACCTGATGATTTTTTTGGGGGGGGCGGAGACAGAGTTTCAAGCTGTCACCCTGGGTAGAGTGCCGTGGTGTCACAGCAACCTTAAACTCCTGGGCTTAAGTGATTTTCTTGCCTCAACCTCCCAAATAGCTGGGACTGTAGGCACCTGCTACAACACCCAGCTATTTTTTTGGTTTTGGTTGCAGTTGTCATTATGTGACTGTAACAACCTTTTAATCCATTCCATTATTGATTGGCATTTAAATTGTTTTTAGATTGCGGTTATTATGAACAATGGTGCCATGAACATTCTTGTATGTGTCTTTTGGTCCACATATGAGTGCATTTCTCTTGGGTATATTTTAAGCAGTGAAATTACTGGATCTCAGGTTGAGTATATATTCAGCTATAATAGATTATTCACAGTTTTCCAAAATAGTTGTATCAGTCTATGTTCCAAACTGCAATATTATGAGAATAGGTGGCTCGGCGCCTATGGCTCAAGTGGCTAAGGCGCCAGCTGCATACACCTAAGGTGGTGGGTTCAAATCCAGCCCAGGCCGCCAAACAACAATGATAGCTGCAACCAAAAAAAAAAATAGCCAGGCGTTGTGGCAGGCGCCTGTGGTCCCAGCTACTTGGGAGGCGGAGGCAGGAGACTCGCTTGAGCCCAGGAGTTGGAGGTTGCTATGAGCTGTGATGCCACAGCACTCTACCCAGGGTGACAGCTTGAGGCTCTGTCTCAAAAAAAAAGAGAGAGAGAATAGGCTTTATGATAAGATGCTTTACTAGAGATAGAGAGGAATAGTCCGTAACATAAAGGTCAATCCACCAGTAAGATAAAACAGTTCTTAATTTATAAACTGAAATCTCCCTTTTTGATATCACTATGTAACTATTAAGGGCTTAATATTGCCAGAATGTTCACATTATAGGTAATAATGGATTGAATATGCAGTAAGCTCTAGTTTAAGACATTCAGGTAATTTATTTTATTACACTCTGTTTCTTCTTGATTTTTTTGTGTGTCCACTGATGCTGACTAATTGCAATGACATCCCTTTCTGTCTTTATTGTGTGAGGCCATAGGTATGATGGATCCTTCATGCTTTTGGTACAGTTTTTCCTTTTTCTGGGGCTAACTGGCATTTTCACAGTTCTCTAAGTTTATTCTTCCTATCTTATGCACATGGAAATGAGCAGCTAATGCCAAAACTATAAATAATAAAATGAGTAAAATAACACATATGTACTGTACTTACTCCCTAATTGTTGGGAGTAAAAAAAAAAAACAAAAACAAAAAAACTATTTTATTCATCCCCTCTTTTGTGTACTTTATAAACAATTTTTCTTTTACATTTTTTTAAATCAGCAGGAGGCCCCAGCAAGTTTCAAACTCATGACTCCTGATTTACAAGACCAGTGCCCTAACCACTGAGCTGCCAAACCCAGCTTTTCTTTTACATTTTATTATAGACTAACACCATTTAACAGACTATATTTCAGTTGACCGATAATTGTCATAGATTTTGTTATAACACAAGGAGAAGCAGCAGAACTATTCATAGTACATTGTTGCATAAACTTTCATTACTTAGCTAATGGGATCCCCTTTTAGGTGACTCTTAAAAGGGGTCCTTTCAGCATAGCATGTGATACTTTTTAAAACTGCCTCACCTTTTGGCAATAGTAGGAGGTTACATTTCTAACCAAAGTTTTGTCCTAAGACATGGAGTTGGCTGTCTTCCAGGATCTCTCTTTTCTTTATCTTTTCTCTTCTGTCTTTACTTCTTTTCTTCTTGGAATTGAACATAAAAACCTAAAGTGGGAGACTTGTACCAACTTGAGAGTTTATGTTGGGAAACAGTGCTGCTGTTTTTGCGCTACTTTAGGTAGTAGTCCTGAGTTGAAAGCTTTCTTTTTTTCTTTTTTCTCTTTCCTTTTCTTAGAGATAGGATTTTACTATGTCACCCAAGCTGTAGTGCAATGGCACTATTACAACTCACTGCAGCATCCAATTCCTGGGCTCAAGCAGTCCTACCTAAGCCTCCCAAGTAGCTGGTGGGACTATAGACATGTGCCACCAAATCCAGCTAAGTTTTACATTTTTTAAAATTTATTTTGAGACAGAATCTCATTATGTCACCCTTAGTAGTCCTGCATAAAATGGCCAATATAGGCTTGGCACCTGTAGCTCAAGTGGCTACACCTAAGGTGGCAGGTTCGAATACAGCCCAGGCCCGCCAAACAACAGTGACGGCTGCGACCAAAAAATAGCTGGTCATTGTGGCAGGCACCTGCGGTCCCAGCTACTTGGGAGGCTGAGGCAGGAGACTTGGTTGAGCCCAGGAGTTGGAAGTTGCTGTGAGCTGTGATGCCACGGCTCTCTACCCAGGGGATAGCTTGAGGCTCTGTCTCAAAAAAAAAAAAAAGGGCCAATATATTCCCTGTGAAATGCAGGGTGTTGTTGTAGCCCCTATTATCTTATCATCTTAGGGACTTCTAAACTGAGAATGACAGGCATATTTTAATATCCTGTTACAGACTGAAAACTAGTAGAAATAAGAAGGTACAAAGTCAATATTTAGAAATCAATAGAACTTTGTCTATTAAGAAAATAGAAGATAGGCTTGGCACTATAGCACAGTGGTTATGGTGCCAGCCACATACACTGAGGTTGGCGGGATGGAACCCAGCCCTGGCCAGCTAAAACAACCAGACAACTGCAACAAAAAATAGCCGGGCATTGTGGTGGGCACCTGTCGTCCCAGCTACTTGGGAGGCTGAGGCAAGAAAATCACTTAAGCCCAAGAGTTTGAGGTTGCTGTGAGCTGTGACACCATAGCACTCTACCAAGGGTGACAGAATGAAACTGTCTCCAAAAAAAAAAAAAAAAATAGAAGTCCCAGCTACTCGGAGGCTGAGGCAAGAGGATCACTTGAGCCCAAGAGTTTGAGGTCACTATGAGCTATGACACTGTGGTACTCTACCCAGGGTGACTGAGTGAGACTCTTTATAAAGAAAAAGGTCCATTTTAAGTGCCATGAAATAATTAAAATGCTATATTATTCATATGTGGCCTCCACTGAGGAAAATTTAAGTAGGACTCCTTATTCATATATTATTATCCAAGAAGGAAATTATTTTTTTTTTGTTTTTCGTTTTTGAGATAGAGTTTCACTTATTAATTCTCAGTAGAGTGCCATGAAGTCACAGCTCACAGCAATCTCCAGCTCCTTGGGCTTAGGCGATTCTCTTGCCTCAGCCTCCTGAATAGCTGGGACTACAGGTGCCCACTACAATGCCCTGCTATTTTTTTGTTGCAGTTTGGATGAGGCTGAGTTTGAACCCACCACACTTGGTATATGGGGCCAGCACCCTACTCACTGAGCCACAGGCGCTGCCCTGTTTTTTGTTTTTCGGAGGCAGTCTCACTTTGCTACTCTGGGTAGAGTGCTGTTGCATCACAGCTCACAGCAACCTCAAACTCTTGGGCTCAAGCGATTCTCTTGCCTCAACCTCCCAAGACGCTGGCACTACAGGTGCCCACCACAACACCCAGCTATTTTTTTGTTGTAGTTGTCGTTGTTTGGCAGGCCCAGGCTGGATTGGAACCCACCGGCTCCAGTGTATGTGGCTGGCACCCTAGCCACTGAACTATAGGTGCCGAGCCCTAGAATGAAATTATAATCTCATATATTTTTTACCAAATAACTTTATACTAAAATAATAATTGGGCTTGGCTCCTGTGGCTCAAGTGGCTAAGGCCCCAGCCACATACACCTAAGGTGGCGGGTTCGAATCCAGCCTGGGCCCGCCAAACAACGATGGCTGCAACCAAAAAATGGCCAGGCATGGTGGGTGCCTCTGGTCCCAGCTACTTGGGAGGCTGAGGGAGGAGATTCGCTTGAGCTCAGGAGTTGGAGGTTGCTATGAGCTGTGATGCCACGGCACTCTACCCAGGGGGACAGCTTGAGACTCTGTCTCAAAAAAAAAAAAATTGATTAAAAGACTTAAGTACAACAAATGAAAGCATTCAAATTGTGAAGAAGGGAACATTTATATGAATATGTACAGGCAGAAAGCCTATATACTTGTGCCTTTTTGCCTCTGAGAGTGAGCAGGAATAAAAGTCATGTTTTTCTACAATCTAGGAGGGTCTAAGGTAGAACTCCCACTATGGCCTTTGCCCTAGCTGGAGGAATGGAAGTTTGCTACTCACCATCTTAAGGTGGTAGTTGTCTTTGTCCTATACTATTCCAATAGCAGACCTGACACTGTGACACCGAATACCCGCAACACCTGACAACAACAAATATAGGCAGAGTGAGAAAGGTTTTTTTTACCTAAAACCTATAAAAGAAAACCTAGCAGTTTGATGTTGTTTGTTTTTGAGTCAGGGTCTAGCTCTGTTGCCTATGCTGGAGTGCAGGGGCATTAACATAGCTCATTGCAACCTCAACTTTGTAGGCTCAAGCAATCCTCCCACCTCAGCCTCCCAAGTAGCTGTTACTCCAGGTGCCTGCCAGCATGTCTGGCTAATTTTTCTATTCTTTGTAGAGACAGGGTCTTGCTCTTCCTCTGACTGGTCTCAAACTCCTGGCCTCAAGCAGTCCACCCCCAGTGGCCTCCCAAAGTCCTGAGATTATAGCAGTGAACCACCACCCCTGGCCCTGTTGGACTCTTTTGTGTGCCCAAAACATGCACATAGTAAAAAACAGAGCTAGAAGTTAAGAACTAGTGCATCTGTGTGGGTGTACGTAAGCATGTTTGCTCACGTGGTGGTGGAAGTTGACTGAATTTCTTGAAGTTGCAAAGCCAGAAGACTTGATTAGGGAAGTCTTTATTCTTGACCAAAGGGCACCGTTTGGATTAGTCTGGTGTGGGCACCTGAGGGCAGCAAAGGAGGGATCTGCTTAGGGCATGTCACAGTAGCTCCGTCTTGACTTTAGAGCAACATCACTAAGATGCGGCAAGCTCTGACCCAAATTCCTCCATGGAGGCCGGACTCTAGGTTGTTTGAGTGTGGGAGAGTGACTCTGGGCCTTTGTCTTCCCTTGGATCTAGCTACCCAGGATTCATCTTGATGCAATTAAAGCCTGGGGTATCTGGGTTTGAAAAAAGAGTAGGATTGGTTCCACACTCCCATTAACTAAACCCATTGTAAGACCAGAGAAGGTGGAGGTAATGTTTTTTTGTTTTTTTGTTTTTGGCTGGGGCTGGGTTTGAACTACCCAAGTATCTGGGCCAGCGCCCTACTCCTTTGAGCTACAGGCGCCGCCCAAGGTGGAGGTAATTTTATCTGGCCATTCTGAGAGCTGTAACGTCCATGTGATTCCTGGAAAATTTCTTTACTTACTTCCCCAGTCCTGTATTCTCAGAACACTATCCTTTTCCAGGAGAACAACCCTGAGGAAGACTGATCATCTCCTGCAACATTGAAAGCCATGGCCAAGGTGAGCTGATCTTTTTTCTTGCCTTCCTGACATTTAGGCAAAGATGTGGGCATTCCTTATCCTGACATTTTAGCTAATGCAGTCCCCTTTAAGGATCCTGGTCCTGGCTCGGCACCTGTGGCTTAAGTGGCTAAGGCACCAGCCGCATACATCTAAGGTGGTGGGTTCAAATCCAGCCTGGGCCCGCCAAACAACAATGACGGCTGCAACCAAAAAATAGCCCAGCATTGTGCTGGGCGCCTGTGGTCCCAGCTACTTGGGAGGTGGAGGCAGGAGACTCGCTTGAGCCCAGGAGTTGGAAGTTGCT